GTGTTAGACCTCATGCATTTCCAAGTCATATTTTAGAACCTCAAACAAATAAGCATTGGAGAGTAGATCTTGCAAAAGAAAGTGCACTTGATGAGGTGGAATCTTAATTAGTGTGTGCACCATTGGAGATATCCTAATAGATACATATGTCTAGAATTTAAATGAATCTTTTAGCTGAATTTGAAGTGACATTTTGGACATTTCTCCCCTTAAATAGTACGTAGTATATACAACATCTATTTTGGAAATGTTATTCGTTTAGTTGAATATATATACATGTTGTGGTTCATAGTGTAGATTTTACTATTTAGCTATTCTTAATTTGAGCAAAAAAAAATCTGTATACAAATTTGCTATTTGATCTTTAATTATTTTAATGCTTTTCTCAATGTCATTATGTTTATATAACTTTGATTACACTCTATCTATATACTCCGTATAATTTAAAGTGTTATTATGCTCCGTGCATCGATATCGCACGGGTGTAAATCTAGTAATGGAAGAAGTGGGTCTTCACCTCTTATAAAGATGAGTGCAAACACCACCTATTATCTACAAAGATTTTGGTCCAAACTATACAACAAACACACTACATTATGGAATGCTTCAAAAGCATAACACAAACAAACGAGAAACTCCAAAACAGAAGGAGACGACACTAATGACATCGACATGAATGACATCAAAACCAACCTAAAAACATTCATATTTAGGAAGAAAATATAATCAAATACATTCGGGATAGTGTTTAATGTTATCGTAGGACATCAGACACACTCATGCAGTCATACTTGTCACCTGCTCAAAAGGAGAGGAAGTCATCATTGCCGAACTGGAGCATTAATATCAACATTGACAAAATTACAATTTACTATGTCTAGTCATTAGCACAAAAATATTGTCTTGGTCACAACGACAAATTCAATCAGATTCAACTTGCGAGGAAGGCGACGAAATCATTTTGTCAGACATATGACAGACTGATATGCGCATTTTGTCAAAGAGATGATGAGTTAATTGGTGTGTTTCATCAGACAAATGAAATATTGAAAGGTATGACTTGTCAGACGGACGACAGGTCGATAGATGCAGTAATCAAGGATGGGAAGTACAAGTCCTTTCAAAACTTTCGAAAAGTTGATGCTTAACGGCTCAACATGTGCACTCGTACACCTCAACTTCTCGATAAAGAGCAATTGTTGGACCAAATATTTGACAGTTTGATTCTATATTTATGAGAGTTGATTATGAAAATCAATGGTATGTTTATAAGACGTAATGGTGGTTGTTACGACGTTTTTTATGTATTAATATATATGGTCATTAATGTAATTAAGAAGAGAGTTAATTAGAGGTGATCAATCTTTGTGAATTATGACGACTCCTCAAGCCGTCAAACCAAACCGTCATGACGGAACGATCAAGACGTAACATTATTAGCATCTATTGGCTATACTAATTCAGGGCTACAAGATAATATCAAGGAGAAGAGAATATAGGTCGGCCAATGAAGATAGGAACTGACCCTTACAATTAGTCTTATCTTTAATACGTAGTATCTCATTAATTGCCATTACTTATTGTAAAAAGTTGAGCTAGAGAATTCAAGCATTGAGTGGTATGAAGATCAGTAACGAAGGAGGTTGGTCGAGAGTGAAGGGATAGCGAGGGCAGTTAGATATGGTCCAGATTTTTCGCCTGACCTATCATACTCGATGAAACGGTCGGACATGTCGGCCTACTCTTGCTATTTAACGTAATAAGGAGCTATGATGTCAGACATGCACACAATCAATGAACACTACTTTGAAATACATCTAAACTTATCAAATATATTATATTTCAATCGATATTCATTTGATTCTTCATTTTTTTATCATTGCATGTTACCCAACTGATTTTTCATTTTCGAGCGTTCAAATCTTATTTACGTAGTTTAGCTTACGGAAAATAACTTAAACAATATATTGAAAGAATGACATTGCGAACACAAAAGAATGTAATGGGTTACCCGTCTTGCAAAAATGATGTATCTTGCTTTCTTCAGAATCCACAAATTAATAGGGAGTTGATGACTCTAATTGAATCCCTTCAAGGCAAAGTTGAGGAAGAAAAGATGGAGGTGGATGAAGGTAATCCCAATTCTAATGGTGCACACAAAGTTGAAACTAATGATTTGAGATGAATTTTGCACTATTCACATAAAGGTTGAGGAAGTTGAGATGCTTATTCCTAACATAAACCTTCTGTGAAGATGAAACATGGCACCAAGGGAAAGAACAAGGAAGAAAATGGTAAAGTCAAGAAAACTACCAAGTAAATTGCAAGGCAATGCACCTCATAATGAGACACCAATAATGACTTTAAATTAAGCAAAATATATGTAGGCTACTAACATGCATTTCAGTTTTGAGTATATTCTATGCCTAAACAAAACAATGTGTGGTCTTGAACCAATTTTTGGGAACTGAATTTTTATGTTATTTGTCAAAAACTGAATTGCTCTTCTAATTTTAAAACTTGCTATTGTAATATACTTTGACACTAAAAAATTACAAAAAGCATCCGAGGCCAAATAAAAAGTTGGCCTGATTAAATAACTAATTTATTTAATACACAAATGCAAAAATATCTAATACAATTGTAAATAATAAAAAACACAGTAATTCATAACAAATATCACATATCAGAGTTTATGAACTTATATGAGATTTTTTATTTTACATCTAGGGTATGTTTGGCAAATGGCTTATCAGCCAGCTTTTAGCTTGTTTGACCCATTTCAACTGTTTGATTAGTCAAAGAAGCTAATAATAATGTTTGGTAAATGGCTTTTAAAATTAGCTTGTTGAGTTTGAAAAGCTGAAAAAATGGATTGTGGAAGAAGCTAAGGGGAGCAGCTTCTTCATTTGGCTGGTTCAATATACACTCTATCAGCCATTTCGAAAGAGCCAATTTTACCAAACAGTTATTTATAATCAGCCAACATAACCAGTCGATCAAAACAGCTAACACAACCAGCTGTTTCGAAACAGCTGACACAACCAGTTACCAGCAACAGCTAACAACCATTTACCAAACAAGGCCCTAGTCGATGTTTAATAAATATTTCATCACGTCATTCAACATAACGTGGGATATACAACACGAAAAGGATAATAATTGAGCCAATTTGGCCTTAAATGATCCATCTCAAACCTTAACTTCAAATATTAAGCAAATAAACTATAAATGGACCATATTTTAACAATAAGACATGGACTATTTTCATTCAAATTAAATACGTTAATTTTAGGGAAATTTTGTCCACAACCATTCTTTTACTAACACACATCAACTTCTCTAAGAAGATAAAATCTTTTCTTATAATTCCTATGGTACCCTTTAGGGACGAGTCCCAGCTTCAACCACACGCTCTTAAACAAAATTAGTCAATTTAGTAAAAAATGTAGCTTCAAACTTACTCAATTTGATTACGGCAAAATTGAGTTCACTTAAATAAAAAATCCAAGAAAAAATTAGTTGATAAGCCGATCAAGCTAGAAAATATAAGCTACCAAATAAAACCTAGATTCATATGTCAAAATTAAATTCATTTTCCTTATTTTATATTTTTGATGTTTTTTAGTTGGATTAATTTCAATCTCAAACTAAACCATACTTAAGTGCATGCACCCGATCAGACTTAACTAGATTGGACCTTGAAAGTTGTAAAATACATAACGACTAGACATCTAGCTACCAGACCATACCGGACTTAAACAAATTAGACATGAACATACTAAACCAGAAAATTTCAGCCCAAATAAAAACATCATGATGAGTCCTTTCATCCCACTAAAATTTTCTCATCTTTTTTCCCTGGTTCGTTGACTAAAATGGTTCCAAGCCAAATTAATGATTTTACTTTAAAATATTAATTAATTTAATATCAACCTCATAAATTCATTTTTCTTGAAAAGTGCACCGCTTCCTAATATTTTTAAGAGTTTGATTTTAACTACCTCATTGAAAAAGAGAGTGATGGTTACCCCCTTGCTTCCCTATATTTTAAAGAGTAGCTACTTGCCATATGTGGCAATTCAAATTCTTGTTTTTCTCAATTTTAGAAAATATATAAATTAAATATTTTACATCAAATACAAAAAGTTGTATGTACACAACAATTTATTCGACATATAAAATGATTTATATGGAGTACAATAAACGTATATATACAATCATCATTTGTGGAACAAAGTTGCTCTCTATTTTAAACCACCCTCTTCACTATGTGAGAGAGAAGACGTTTTTGGAGGTTTATACAAGGGAAATTATCCAAAATAGGAGCAAATGACATTTGGAATTCCAAAAATAGGATTAGTATGTTTTTCTTTCCGAAATAGGAGTTATAACTGTCATGTATGAAAAATACTGTTTTTAATTATAATAAATATTATCATGTTAAATGCACTATATTGCAACTATTTGGCAGTCATGGCTACAAGATGACAGTAAATACTGTCATGTTAGTTCAATTTCAGGAATATAAACAAAGTAGTCCTATTTTGAAATTTCAAACTTCATTTACTCCTATTTTGAGAAATGTACCTTTATATAATTATATTCTCAGCAATTAAGAGCCCGTTTGGTAGCACGAAAATCGGCCGTTTTGGCTGATTCTGCTGAAATTTATGAAGTTCTGGTTGAAGTGGCTGTTTTGGCTGATTCTGGTGATTCAAGAAAAAAATATTTAAAAAATATATTTTATTAATAAATTAAAGAAAAAATTACATGTAAAAATAGCTAAAATGGTCCTCTGCAGTATCTTCAACCAATACAGCCAGAAAAGTAACTCCAACCTCACTTTTTCTGCTTATTACACAATTCAGCACACAAAAATAAAAATTACGTGTTCGGTGAAAAAGTTGGCTGATAAACCTGATAAGCCAAAAAAGAGGTCTCCAAACGAGCTCTATATATTTTCAACGAGGGCCTATTTTTTGTTTGACAAAAGTTCCATCAGTAGGACAGGATAAGAGCATTACGCATAGTCATAAAACTACATGGAAAAAACGTTGATGTGTATATATATGCCCGGCCTGCTTATAACTTACTTGCTACTTACTCACTAATTAATATTTCATCAATTGAAAAGGAACTACAAATAGATAGATCAAAAGCCAGAATGGATTACTTGCGAGCAAATGGTGGGGTTTGTACATTAATAATTATCAGTTTCACAATTTCCCTGTGTATGAACAATTCATCCGCGGCAGGGCTGAATACTAAGTACTACTCCAAGCTCTGTCCAAATCTCGAGTCCACCGTCCAGAAAGTCGTCTCCGAGAAATTCAAGCAGACTTTCGTCACCGTCCCCGCCGTCATCCGCCTCTTCTTCCACGACTGTTTCGTCTCGGGATGTGATGCTTCCGTGGTGGTGGCGTCGACGCCGGGAAACACGGCGGAGAAGGACCACCCGGACAACCTGTCGCTGGCGGGGGACGGATTTGACACGGTGATAAAGGCTAAAGCGGCCGTAGACGCCATCCCCAGCTGTAGGAACAGAGTATCGTGCGCTGACATTCTCGCCATTGCCACCCGAGATGTTATTTCTCTGGTTAGTCCTCCCACCTTCTCTTTTCAATTATTATTCTTATTTCTTTTACTATCATTAATTAATTCCCAAATATGAGTTATCTTTGCTTGAAATGAACTATAATAAATTAGTACATGATCACAGAGGATCGATCATGAAATCAAATAAACTTTCTATTCAAACTAGTTTGCTAGTTATTTGATCGATTACTTGATTGCTACTTATCTGGAACTGTATTTTCGCTACGGAAATTTTAAAGAAAATTTTACAAATCATTTGAACATTTCTTTTTGTGTTTAAAGATGACATTTCTTGGTTCTCAGTATTTCAAATCAAATTGTTTTGAGTACCAGAGGGTTAAAACTAAAAAATTCACTATAAGAAGTATTTTTTAATACTTATGAATATTTATATATGCTTATATACTACCTCCCTCCCAATTTACTTAGTCAAACTTGACTTTTAATACTCGTGAGCGAGCCCCTGTCTCCATCCTGTCCTGAATGTTAATGATCATTCAGACTAGATTTAAATATTATTCCGTATAATGATCCATACATGGGCGGAGTCACGGAATCAAACGGATACACATTATTTAATCGAAACATTTTTAAATTTGGGATCGGTCATTCAGTTCACGGTTCTTTATCAAGTTAATAAGAATTTCATGGCCTAGTTAAGATGCCGCGCACCACCACCAACCACCAATCGGGGGTATTACATTCTGATACTAGAACGGCCGTGGTGCGGGAGTAAATCACGTTATAATTTTAGAGAGTATATCAAATGGGTAATTCAATATATGCATTTCTATTGTATATCTGGTTTATTTATCAAATTTAGTGGTTAATTAATATTACTCCCTCCTTTCCTAAATGTTTTTCCATAGTACAAATGACACACAGAATAAGAAAATGAGAATTGTGTGGTAGAAAGTTGTGCAGACGAAAAGGGAAAGTTGAAATTTCTTTTAGGAACGGAGGGAGTAGCATATTTGTCAACCTCTCACATTTTGATCTAGTCTGATTTGGTCGATGTCACATCTAAAATGGAATAGAAGTTTTATTGGTTTCTTCTATCGGCGCTAATATTAATTTTGTATTCAAACTCTCTCATCCACAGTTTTAACAACAAAAGTCTATGTCCGTAAGCCGGTTTTTAGTTTTGTTTCAGCTTAAATTGTACGTTTGCTTAATTTTTTAAATAAATTTATTTATTTATTTTATTCAATAAATGTTTATCACATTAAAAAGCAAACCTGGTGGAATCCAGTCCCACATGAGAATCAAAATCACTGTAGGGACCAATATCATAATGCGTAAATAGAAAAGTATGGGTGCAACAAACACACAAAAACTATGAATTTGTACTTATTACCAAACAAGTATTACGTGTCAACATTGAAGATCTAAATTGGTGAAATTGAACTAGAAAAAACTTGTGCCATGGACTCTATCGCAAGGAACAAAATAGAAATCGACACTTACAAATTAGTGTCCTACATGGTCAATCCAATTCCCTAGGGGAGGAGCTAGGAGGTGCCCAAGCTAGGTCTGCCCCCACCCCAAATTTAAAAAATGTCAATATTTTTAGTATAAAAAATTTCGTGTAAATTTTTTTCCAATAATATTCTTTGTACCTACCCAGTCTGGCTCAGTGCCCTGGCTCCATCCCTGCAATTACCTATTCCTTATCCACCTTAAAGTCTATCAGTTTGTATATCACTCCAAAAAACATGGGATTGACAAAGACTTTTGGCAGAGATTGACCAAAATTCATATCAGATTTGGCAGGATATGTTAAATCTATATCAAATTCGTGAATGATTACATTTTATTCAGTTCAATTGTGTTTGGTTACTTGGTATAGATCTTGTGAGGCCGGGGATACACATATAGACATGTAGTACGTTACATATTTTATACTCCGTATGTGTAAAATTGAAGAGCTTAGTGGTAATCACAAAAGAAAAACTTGAGTTGTCTAGAATCTAGATAGTGGTGAGATTGGTTAGGGTTAGGCCTGTCAATGGGTCGGGTCCGGGTCGGAACGTAGTGTTCCAGACCCGGACTCGCTAAGTTAATGATGGATCCGGACCCGGCCCGTTTACCCGGCGGGTCTGAAAATTTGGACCCGGATCCAGACCTAACGGGCCTCGGAATCGGGTCGGGTAGACCCGCCCGCCAAGTATGATACACACACCATTATAAACTTTGTGAAAATATCAAGACGTGTGTCAAATATATAGCAAAGTGTACAAATTTTAAAGCAAAATATATCTTCACTTTTCAAAAAAAATTAAGGTCTCTCATAGAAAATTAGTATTTTTTATCTGATAAAGTATCGGTTCTTTTACATGCATATAGTTCCACACTTTGCGCCGTTTTCTCTCGCACAAAAAACTCGTAGAATAAACTAGAAATTAAGTCATAAAAAGGTCTCTTTGACTACTAAGACTATAAAATCATATGTAGTATTATATATGATAATGATATAATAATATTAATAATAATAGTAATAAATATTAGTTTTAGGGTATCTTACTATCTTGATCAGTATCACTTATATAGTATTTAATTATGTATTAATGTGTATATTTTTATTGAATAATCACAAATTGACAACTAGTAACTTTATGTATTACTCCGTATTATGTATATATGTATATTAATTTCTATTTTATTTAAAGTGTTATAACTAATCACTTTATGTTTGAGTGTATGTGTATACAAATAAGAAATTTTAAACGGGTCTAGGTCCTTAACGGCTCGGAATCATATGTACCATACCCAACCCGTTTATTTAAAATACTAACGGGGCCGGATCCAGGGTCGGGTAAACGGAATAAAAAATAGACCCGTACCCATTAAAAACAACCGGGTCCGGGTCGGGTCCGGATCTAGACCCTACCCATTGATTTAGGGTTAAGGTACTACTTACTACAAAGCAGCACTCTAACCGATCATCTTAATTAATAAAGAAGTCATTAATCAGACTTAATTTTTCTATTTTATCTAATTGAATGATATGTATGTTTATATATGTCTCATCTAGTATGATCTAGTCTAATAAATGTGAAATGTATATTACTTGTATATATTACTATAGTATTATTTGTTTAAGTCAATTATTTAAATGTGGCCTTTCAATTATACACTTAAAACGGGACATAACAATTAATGGAAAACGTCGAATGAGTCTTGTCAGATACATTTTGTATGAATTGGCGACTTGATTTGGTATTACTTGGTGGAATATAATTTGGAGTAGGTATTACCATATGACGTGTAATGATAGTGAAATAATTGGCTGTAAAGATGAATAATTGGACGACACGCAGGCAGGTGGGCCATGGTACCCAGTTGAGTTAGGAAGACTTGACGGCCTCACATCAAAGGCATCAAACGTTGAAGGGAGACTACCAAAGCCAACCTTCAATTTGAATCAGCTCAACTCTTTGTTTGCTTCTCATGGTCTTACTCAAACGGACATGATTGCTCTCTCCGGTAGGTATCCTTCTTTACCCGCCCATTTTCTAGGTTTATTTAACTTTACAAGTAGGGACGGATCTAGGCCCGTCCGGTTCAATCCTAATTATTGGAACCTAGGACCAGAAAAATGAACCCGGTCTGATCGTGTACAATACCGGATCCGGTCCATGGTCCCGATTCCAGATCATTCCGAGACTGCCGACTGGGTCCATCCCTGATTACAATGTTACATGTATTGGTTTAGGGACGGTAATGGGGTGAGAGCCCACGGACTTCTGCTTCAATAAATAAATTTTAAAAATGTAGCCCACAGATTTCTACTTAAAATTTAATTTTACACACCTTGCATTAAATTTAAGACTTATATTGAATCTAATTTAACAAATATTAACGTGAGATGGCAAACAGTGAGAATGATAAAAACTCATGGATTAAGTAATTGATTTTTAAAAATGCAAGGTTACATTAATAATTATGACATAATTTCAGGGGGCTAACAGTGATTTTCCCTTACTCTTCCGACCGGGCCAATGTGCCATTTAGTCTTTCACATTCCTTTCTTAATAAAGTATTCTTGGATACTTAATGACTTTTTCGTCATTAAGGATGTTTTTACTTGGACTGTAATTCCTCCCAGACCAGACCAGACCAGATCAGACCAGACCAGACCAGACCAGATCAGATCAGACCAGACCAGACCAGATCAGACCAGACTTGGATAGTTATAAAAATACAAAGAAATCAGACCAGACCAGACCAGATCAGACCAGACCAGCAAATTACAGTCCAAGTAAAAACATCCTAAATTTTTTTTAGGGAAATGTGCCATTTACTCTTCCGTCATTTGGATACTTATCACAAACAAAAATAATCTTTCAAAACATTTTTACAAGTTTGGGATGAGCAAATCGGGACAAAGAGAGCTCATTTAAATAGGGAAATGCGCTAAAACGCATATTTGGTCCGAGTGATGATGGTTTGCAAAAGTAGTATTCCATCGGTCCATTTTTATTTAGGGGTGTTTGGAACTGATTCTAATTCTGCTTCTTTTTTAAAGTAGAAGCAGAATCAGAATCAGTTTTCAGAAGCTAGTATCCCCCAGCTTCTAAAAAAACTGATTCTGAGAGTAAATTAGAGCACCAGAAGTGCTTCTGGAATTTCACCCAAACACTCCAGCTTCTGCTTCTGCTCCCTGAAGAAGCAGAATCAGTTTTGAGAATCAGATCCAAACACCCCCTTAGCCAAACAATACTATGTATTTCTCAAGTTAATCAAGTTAACTTTTGACCAATCATATAATTATATACGGTAATATTTATAATATGAAAAAAATATGAAAATGTTCTTTGTTAAAAATACAATTATACATATATAAATTTATTAAGTTTCACATAAGTATATTACTTAAAATAATAGATCAATGTTTATCTTCTTTGATTAAAAAAGTCAAAGTTGACTAAGTAAAAAGAAAAAGGGATGGAAGGTAGTATTTGTCTTAAAAGTTAAAACCATCATCAAACATAAGAAATATGAATGAGTTCCAAAATTAACATTTTCAAAAACTTTGTCCCTTTATCGATATAATGTAATTGACATGTCACCATCAAGACGATATACTCTAGAACTATACTCCGTATATATTAGGTTGAATTCTAGAACAACGAATTGTTTTTTAGATAAACATTATTTTAGGGGTTTAATGCATCAAACCCTCCCGTGATATAGAAATTCAGCGCATTAGCCTCCTGTAATTTGAAAAATGCGTCAAACCTCCTTGTGTTTTAATTAATCATGCACAGAAACCCTTTTATGACTAAATTTAATGATTTTGATATAACTTTTCCAAATATTCCGATTGAATATACAAGTAAATATGTCAAAATATCTAAACCATACAAAAATGTTAATCATTTTTCTTATATTTGATAATTGAATTTGTTCATAGAAGGGATTTTGCGCATAATTAATTAAAACACAAGGGAGTTTGACGCATTTTTTAAATTACAGGGGATTAATGCACCGAATTTCCATATCACAGGGGATTTGATGCATTAAACCCATTATTTTAGCGTAAACTCCTCATGGACACACCCACGTGTAAGAAAAATTCTTTAGTAAAGGTAAAGTTTTGGATATATTTGAAAGTTCGACTAAAATACAATTTCTGATCTCATTTATTTGCCTTGAAGAATATTTTTACCCTTCTTTTAAAGGTTTGGAATTCTAGTCTTTGTGCTTTTAATGAAAATTTCCCAAGTTTTCTTCTTTCTTACCAGATTTCCTTCCAAAAGTCAATTAAGAATTTGCTTCGTTAGTTAATTTGCATGGGCCATTTCGATTTCGCAAATTAAATTCCAACTTTTTACTGGTCATTTTCTTTTAAATGCGTATGCGAATTAGTTTTTGAATAATAAATTTTTAAGTTTGCCATTCAATTCGATCAAGCTAAACTACATTATTAATTTAGTACATAGAAGTTACAACACGTTATATACATTTGAGGACTCATCAAGACATCAACATTTCTACCTTTAACACGGTCTACACCAAACTTCTAATTGAGATAGTAACAGTGGTCTAGAAATAAGAAATTAATTGATATTCAAACAATAAGAATTAGAATAAACTTATAAAATCGGCGGTTAGTTTTATGCTAATTCATTTCACACCAACTAAATGAGTAAATGACACACAAATTAAACTCAAATTTATGGTCCAAGAGTGACTATTCTTAAGATGATGACATTGTAGGGTGGAACCCAAATTTTAAATATTATTTCAATGTCTAGTAATAGCTTGAATTATTAATTCAATCTTGGTTAGCGCAAAAAAGTGAGCACACGAGCTTCATATAAAATTATAAACTATAAAGACCGAATACTCCAGCTCACCATATTCTCACATCAATTCAATGTTTGAAATATGCGAAAGTCCCTTGTCTGATACTTCTTCCCCTCCTGCAAAATAGTTCCGATATCTTTTTTGGGTCGTTCAAAAAATAGTTTCCATTTTCCCTTCTGGAAAGTTTTGTGTGGCTCACATTCATTCACTTTTTTCTTACACAACCACAATCATATATTTCCACTTTATTCTCATTTTCTTAAACTTCGATCCAAGTCAATGCGTGAACTGTTTTATGGGAAAGAGGGAGTAATATTTTTCATTAAGAGTATACATCGCGGTACTCCAATTTACTGGAGTTCGTGTTTTTAGTAGGAAACATTAATAATTCATATACGTGAAGCTATATAAGGATTTTCTGAAACTTACTCATAAATTTCAAGGTGTGAACAATATATTTGAAGTAGATACTAAGTATTTGTTTTTTTCACATGTATAACTTGAGGATGTTTGGTGCTTACCCTAAAATATGTTCGGAGAACTTAAAAATGTACACTCATTAGCACCAAAACTTATGTGTAGTATCAAAGTTATGATATTTATGTAGGAAGTTGCTTTAAGTAGACGTAAAAGTAAGGTGATTTTTCTAACAAAAGTTCTACTTTTATATTTTTTTTTACATTTTTCGCGCACTCAAGTATACATAGGGTTTTTAACAAAAAATTGTCTTTATGTACATTTTCAAATTATGGGCGTTTAGCAACGTGGTCTCCACTATTCGTCCTCGATCTTATACTTTTGAAAAAGAAAAATAATAAGTGTCTGTAGATGGACACATGAAGTTCTTCGCTGTTACTGCATCTCTTTTGTAAGGTTTCGTCACGTTCGTATCACTTTCAGTTAAAGTCAAACATATATACTAGTATATAATATATGAATTTTATAGATCGGGAACCTGAAAGATAGACGAACTATCGAAACTTGAAAGGTGAAATGCATCGGTATAGGATCCGAATGATGAAAAATTATCAATCTAGGATCCGAATGATCGAAAACTATCAATTTAAGACATAACTTTTCATAAATTTTATTATTATTTTTATTTTAAAAAATTTAAATAATATTTAGTTTTATTAAACTAATAAATTTTTGTGAAGAAAATTTCACCAAATATTAGCAATGGAATTAATAAAAAATTAAATAAATCAAAACCTATAAAAAGTTAGGTCCTAGATCGATAGTTTTTCATCTTTGGAGTCCTATACGGATACATTTCATCCTTCAGGTCTCGGATTAATAATTCGTGTATCTTTGAGGTCCGATAAAATTCCAAAAATTATAATATGCAAACGAAACCCGATTTCTCTTCTTCCATTGGAATATTGTAATATAATCCTCAATTTCAGTGTCTTCTCGATCATATATTGTACACACCCGATCTTTTTTATTTAATTTTATTGCATAGTAATATGGTAATGGAGTATGTACTCTTTCCTCTCTAACAAATCACAAATTTTATTGTTCTTCTTTGAACTGATTGGGATGAGATCTCCACTTTTAGAGTTGAACAATAATAATGTCATAATATCACAAAATATTTCATATGAAACTTTTTATTTATTGAAAGCTAACATTAACAACTAATTAGCATACAATAAGTTGTAAGAAGCTGATCACTTGGCTTTTTCTCCACTCTTAGGTCCTAACTATCTCAATTACTTCTAAACTTTCCTTTTCGAAGAGGATTCTCTAATTCTATATTGCAAGTATTACATATGGATTAAAGAGCCAAATAAAATCAAACGGGCTCAAATAATTCGTATTATTTGTAAAATGGACCAAAGATTCCGTTCGAGTTTGACTAAAATTGTATGGATAATGAATTCAAATGGGCTAAAATAATTCCAATTTAGATTTGCAATTAAAAGATCCTATGGTTATGGTTAGGAAAGTACTTTTTAGAAAAGCAATTTTTTAGCTTCGGTAATTATTTATCTACAAATCTCTTTAGTTTCGTACTTTTGAGAATTGTGGATATTTCTTTTGAGATAATGTGAGGAAAAAAACTTAAGCGGGTTGAGTGCTTGTGCAGCGGCCCATACTGTGGGATTTTCTCACTGCGACAGGTTCTGGAACCGGATATACAATTTCAGCCGAGGAAGCCCACTGGACCCAACTCTCAACATAGAATATGCCTCTGAATTAAAGGCCAACTGCCCTAAGACTGTGGACCCACGGGTAGCAATCAATATGGACCCGGTCACTCCCAGGAGATTCGACAACCAATATTTCAAGAACCTACAGAATGGAAGGGGCTTGTTCACTTCTGATCAAGTCCTGTATGAGGACGCAAGGTCAAAGTCCGCCGTTGACTCATGGGCTAAGAACCCTAAAGCCTTCCAAGATGCATTTAAGCTTGCAATCACTAAATTGGGTCGGGTTGGGGTTAAAACCGGAAAAGGCGGGAATATTCGTTTCGATTGCGGGAAGCTCAACTAAGTTCAACTGATTGATTTTTACTCATCACCCCCTTGTGAAAAGATTTTTTTTTGTTTTTGTTTTGACTGATTATGCTTAAATTTATGCAATAATAAAATGTATAATAGTTGTGTATTAGTTCTTTGTTGCATAAGTTTAATCAAATAAAAATTGCGTGCAAATGTATATTGTTGTGAACCGTGGATTCAACACGAGCTGTTGTAAGAATTATTATTATTATTGTTATTGTTACTATTATTATTATTATTATTATTATTATATTAATTATTATTATTATTATTATTATTATTACTACGTAGTATTATTTTGCAAGGAACTATTATAATAATAATTATTATTGTCATGGTTAAAGTCGTGATATGAATTCTCTATAAGGGTAGATGTAGCACATGTTGAGGTCGTGAGGATCGGGTATGAGATTAACCATTTGTTTGGGATAAGGTGAAATTATAGCATAAAAGAACATTAACCATTTGTTTGGATAAGGAAACTAAATAGAAAATTAGCATAAATACGGAGTACCAATTATATACTACTCCTACGTAGTTATTATCTCATAAATAAAAAAGATCAAATCATACATATGTATGAAGTAGTGGATCAGAAATCTAGATTTGACTAGACTGAACAATAATTATACTAAACTTAAATATTAACACAAATACCCAATGAACTAAATTTGAAAAATGAACAAAATTTACACAAAAATGGGAAATATTAAGTTGCCTTACCTTAAGCCAAGTAGTTAACACCGTTGTAATTAGTTACATTTATGATAATTTACTTCTTAAAAATTGGAATTGCCAAATTTAGAAGTATGCATAGTTATATACTCCGTACTAGGGTGCATGTTAAATCTATTTATCTATCCTTGTAATAACATGCATACAGAAAGTTAAGATGTGAATATGTGCATAAAGACATTGATACACACGTCAGAATAGCTATATTGTTTGTAACTATTTTCATTTAAAAAGAGATTCATATTGGGTTGCTTTTGTAAATGTGACTCCGCGCCGAACAACACTGAAAGATGAGACTTACCTATCAAGACTATATGCATATATAAGCTCCTCTGAATTGCGAACAGGATAAAAAGATGTCAACTTTTAAACCCTTCATTTGACCCTCCAGAGTGAGGGCAATGTTGTTTCACCTTTCGGGAGAGTGAGCAAAACTGGAATCGTATATGTAGCCATCTAGTTCAATAATGAAGACAAGCATTGAGGGAATTTTTGGGGAAAACTAGTACAAGAAAGAATAAGCATGTGGCATGAATGTAACCTGTCCAGAATAGAACCTTTCTTTTGGAAGGAGACAATCACAAAAGCAGTAGTTATCCAGACATCCCTACAAATGTAGGAGATGATAGAAGTGATGATTATTATGGAATACCTAATTCTTGAAGGCATGACTGCTTTGTCAAGTCGAGTGATTTGCGGTTCTCATTCTGCACAGATAAATAAGACTTCACTGAGCTTAATGGTCAATGGAGCACATTAGCATTTCAGTCTGATGGCATTCTTGTAAGTTGTAAATATCTCCACCTGACCCCCACTGCTCCCTGTTTACGAATTAGACTATCACTGTCCAACTCTACATTTTCCTGTCCAGGCTCATCCTAATTCCACTATGAAATTGTAACTTTATGCTCTGATAGAGGCACAATGGGAGAGTACAGTTATATAAAGCTTTTGAAGCAATGACAGATCAACATGGTAGATTATCCAAAGCATAAACATCAAATGCCACTCAGTACATAACATCTCGATGGTTTTCTGTAAGCAGTTATCACATTTTCCACCACAAGCCTTGGGCCTCTTGCCTTCTGGGAAAAATTCAGGTTCAGGTGTATCCTCTCAGATGAGATTCTGGAGGGTATCATATCCGACTTTGGTGCCATGTTGTTTACAACTTAGACAATGATGAAGCCATTTGTAGTACCTTGCACGCAGTCACGGGCTGTAACAATTTTATTTTTCCTATGCCATCTTGAACTTACAGCTCTAGTAAATATTTTCAGAAAGTAAATAAAAACTATACTCTATCATGACAAAGAGGTGATGTGAAAAGAGATTTTCAACCTATTATACCTAATATAAGAATATATCTCCTTGAAAACCTATATACTGCAAGTTAAGAGCAATGTGGGATTACTTGAAGATTTATACCCGCACTTTAACTAGAAACATGCACAATTAATGGCCAGTTTGATATTAAAATAGAAGCACTGTTATGAAAGTCAGTAGATGTAAAAACAGCTCCCCACTTCCCCTTCACCCAGTAGGCCAAAAATGTCACGTCAAATAAAAATGTTGCTTAAACCGGATGAAAGAAGAATCAAATAACATGATAGTCGACTAATAATTGGCTACACTATGAATGTTTTTACTTGGACTGGTTTCAGTTCCAGACTAGATTAGACAATTGTAAAATACACAAGGATGAGGCAAATAGGGGTGTTTGGAACTATTATGCTTCTTTTTTAAAAGCAGAAGCAGAATCAGAATCAGTTTTTCAGAAACTGGGGGAGACCAACTTCTAAAAAACTGTTTCTAGGAGTAAATTGGAGCACCCAGAAGTACTTTTGCACTTTCACCCAAACACTCCAATATCTGCTTCTGCTCCCTGAAGGAGCCGAAGCAGTTTTAAGAAGCAGATCCAAACACTACCTTTAACAAATCAGACCAATTCATATCAGATCAAACAACGCTTAAACAGACTAGATCAAACCAAACCAGACTAGAAAATTTCAGTCCAATTATAAACATCTTATGTGCGTTTCAATTCTCTTAGCACAATTTCAAAGGAAAAGGGTGCAAGAATTACCACTTGGAATCTCTTTTGCAAAAAAAAATTCTATTCTTGTCTCCTTTTGTCAGTTTGTGAAATAAGGGTGACCCTTATGATTATTTTCTTATTATAAGGCCCATATTGTCTCCTCCCTCCTTGCTAAAACCTTAACTTCTAACTAAAACAACTTATAATGCCTTGAATTTATAGAGTGGTATTCAAAATGCATGTGCACTTGCAGAAATCATTACTAACATTCATCTTCCCTCAACAAAAAAACTTATATACTCCCTGCACCAAAATATTGAGAGATATTTGGGGCAAGGTACAATTTTACAACTTTTGATTTTTAGTCAAACTCAATCAAGGTTGTTGAGTTTAAATCCAACATAAATTAGTAGTATGAATATGAATATGTATGAAATGCTCTATTTTTACGTGGAAACCCGAAAGGGAGAAAACCACGGGACTTTTTAGGCTAATGTCCAAGCCCTCTCTTTCTCATTAATACTCTCCTCACCATTTACATAGTACAAATATCAAACCTCCATTAATAGAGGTTTTAAGCTCATCTACTCTAGAGAGGAAGAAGAAGCAGGGAGGAAGCAAAAGCGCAAAAGCAGCAGCCTCCTTAAAATGGAAGCCAACCTTCCTATTTATAGGGGAGGGGGCTTTCTAGCCTAATGGGCCGGAAAGGCCTTAACGGGCTGAAATAGGCCGGGTAGGCCTAAATGGGCCTCGCCGACTAGGTTCCGTACTGGGGTGATGCATTGGGCCTCTGAACAGTAACAGGACGGGATAATATTCCCCAACAAAGGTAAAAGCATTTTTAAGGTATGAATGTGTATTTACACCCCTAGAAATTTGAAGTAATTGACTAAACCATCATGCAGCTTGGCTTAACATGGACTTTACTTGAAAATGAAATTTGACTTCAAAATCAGACTCTTTTTGGGCCAAAAGAGTTCTTGAAACAAGCCTTTTTAAGACTGATGGAGTATATTGCAACCATATTTTATCTTGGATCAATTTTTCTGTTCATTAAACTTCAGAAGCACCCAGAAGTGAAAATTGTCTTCATGACAAGCTGCTCGCCATCAATATTGCCTTATATATGAGTAGTAGCTGCATAGCTTAAAAACTCATAAGTCATGATTCATGAATTGGTACCTCTATACATTGTCAGTTGCTCTTATGATCAATGCTGAATACACAGAAGGAGTCTGGAAAATTGAGATGCTAAAGTCCAGAATCAGAAGCTGCAGCAGAGCCATTAATGTTTTTGCGCTTGTTAACCTTCTTTGTTTTGACTGGACAACTGGATGTGAATCAGTTCTCTTTGGGGCTGTTAATACCTTGTTGTCGCTCTTCTCTCTTTCCTGTGCACTTATTTCTTATCATAATGTTTTTTGCGCTTGTTAACCTTCTTTGTGAATCAGTTCTCTTTGGGGCTGTTGATACCTTGATGCCTATAATAGAATAAGGAATTGACTTATTTCTTTCTTTTGTGAAGCTTCCACTTTCCTACCAATTCTCTCTATCAATGAAGGAACAACTAAAGGAAGGAGTAAGATGACTGGTGGCAAGTAGTGATTGTTAAAGGCAATTGATGAAGTTGGTAAGTAGTGCCTTTGTTTAAACCCTAAGTTTGTCATGCTTTCTAGTGGTGGACTGGTGGTATTTGAGATCTGATAGGGACCTAGACAATACTAGTAATAAGAATAATATTAAGCACGATCTTCATTTACGTTCTTAAAAGATATCAATTTCTCTCTTTCGATTCTGGTTCCTATCATGATCTTATTCAGGGTATTTCTAAAACTGAACTGGAAGGGTTGGAGTAGTAGAAGTATTAGCAGAAAACCTATAGTTCTGTAAACTGCGTTTGGAGCAATAAAAGTATTGTGCTTTAGAGTATAGACAATGACGAGTTTATTTAGATTACTAGAACTTGTATTTTTTTACAGAGAAGATAAAGTTTTAGTTTCCTAGTTATCAATTGAGTGTGCTTAGTCCTTTAGTAATTTGAGGTGGGAATTTAGTACATAAATGTAGCCAAAATGACAAATTTAGAAGCTGTTTACTTTTAAGAAGGGTCGAGGACCTGCGGAAAATCATTTTTTTGGTTTAGTTGCAAGAGAGAGAATTAAGATTCACCCTTGTTTGGTTGGCAATGAGAGGGGAGGGTAAAAGACAATTGGACATTATTTTGAAATGAATGGAGAATCTGAGAAAAAGATCACAATAAGCAATAATAGTTGTTAATGCATACAATAATTAAACATCAAGAGAGAAAATAAGTGAAATGAGAGAGTAAAAAGCTAGTCGCTGTTAAATTAGGAGAGTTGACATTATGTTGAAACAAGATAAAAGGAAAGAGTGGCATAAAGAATGGGTCAGAATGAATACGTACCATGGAAACACAAGAACAAAGCACCTCTACAATGAAGAGAACATGTCAGATAAACACTGTCTGAATCCAGTCCTGCTTCTTTTGAACCCAGCACAACAGCACAAGTAATCATCAAATGAGAGCATGCAGATAACAAAAAGATGAAGAGCTAAAAGTCACTATATTGAAGCAAACCTGTTATCATCCTTACCGTTGCATGCTGCCATGAATATCTACAGATGTACTCCTTCCGTAAAAAAAGAGGCCCATTTAACATCTTATTTTAGTCCCAAAAGAGTCCCTTTTTGACATACGAGTTAAATTTCATTCTATTAATGTCACTTTTCCAAATAAAAATGTTCAAAACAAGTTAAGCAAGATAAATTTAACCACAACATCCAACAACATCCAAGCGTTCATCCCAAAAGAATTTGGTTGTCTTACTTTCCTTTTTGGTAAGAAATATATGGTCCATATCATTTCACTTAATTATACTCAAATCTCAACCACAACTTTTACTTTGCAACCACTTCATTAATAGTTGTGCCAAACTAAAACAAGACATCTAATATGGAATGGAGGTAGTACGAAACTAAAACTTATACCCTGACGAAACATGACTATTTTTGGGTGACCTTTGGAGCATTTCACGACTTCTCTTGAAATGTACTTCGTAATTCGTAAGAGTTCCCATAAATAGATCGAGGAAAAATCACAATCACCAAATAACAGCTATTACTCCTAGTTCTAAAATGAGTAGAGCAATCAGTCTTAGTATTACCATAATTGATCAATATCTTTCATACCTCCAACAGCCTTCACAGAAACAAGAATGCACTTCATGTCGATATGAAAAAATCTTTTAATTTCTTTTTGTGGGAGGGTATAGAAGTACGAGGAATTAATTGTTTGCTCACTAGTTGACTCGAAACAGGTTAGTAAAAACAAATGCACAACTTATAAACATCTTCTTTCCCAAGATCATACAGGGCACAGAATTGTAGGGCATAGTTTCTTATTAAAGTTAAATATATAGTTGAATCATGGATGGAAAATGCAAAACTCCAATGAAAATGGAAGAAAGGATGTAACTTGAGTTGCGATTCATTTGATTATACCCAATCAGCCATACAATCTCATCAAAAGTTTTCTAGTCATTAGATTGTAGATATGCTGTTTACTCTAAAAAACCATTAAAGGTAAAGATCGGTTCAAATCTGAAAAACCCAGAACTGGCAGGCACACCTATGCTTGATTACCATTTTGAGTCGGATCCAAATGACACTCACCTATCTACTTGACTTCTTGGAAATAGAAAGCGACATTGAAGATTAGAAAAGAGAACAACGTACTTACTGAGATCTTATTAAATGAATTTCAGCAAACTAAATGAATTGAGTATTATTGTGCACAAAAAATGACCTAGCATCTACTAATGATCTTTAATTAGCATTAATGCGGGGTAGAGAAGTGAGAGAACTAAAATTAAAGAGAGTGTGAATACTTTAAAAAATGAACCTTTATTATTAAGATAAGAAAGATGAACAAGCTACTGGCATTAGTTGGTAATGGTCGTGATGCCCACTTAACTATTTGTAATTACTACAAGCTTACAGGTATTAATATCTCCATACTTTATGAGGTAATCGTCCTCAATCCAGAAATAATCAGCTCTGAGATGCATATACAACCTAAAAACCTCGATCCAAAACTTTTCTCTATCTTGGAACCACATAGATGAGTAGTTATCCTTTGCTGATGAGAACCTTCTGCCAGCACTGCTACTAGATCAGATAATGATCTCGTGATTCATATCGAAATTCTCTGTTGGGCTTAAGTTACAAATCTTGCACCTAGTCAATCAAAGGTTCTTCAGATGCACGCAAGCAAACCCTCTCAAGCTGTGTGGGCCAGTCTTCTCCTAGAATTTTAGGATTTGACTCCAGAGAAACACGGAAGTCTAACAATGACACACAGCATTCGCATGGCTTCTGAACATATCTCATAGTTCTCATCCCGTTTAAAGTGGATACAACTTGATGTTGAACAATCTTCTGTCTTGTCTTCGATGCAGCTAGTGACAAGCATGGTTCAATTAATCTCTTCAGATAAGCATCCAGCCCGTTGTTTAACAGATTAACACAATCAGTTGACATCTTCAGTCCCTCTGCATCCAACTTCTGTTCCAACCTTTTCTTGAGAGAGCTTGAATCAGGTAACTCACCAGTGATATGGCAAGTTTCTGTGGGGAGAACAGACTCTGCTCCATGATGTAAAAATTTCTTTGTTGCCCTTGAGATCAGAGAGACACCAAACGGAGCCGTGACAGGAATCCTACTATAAATAGCGGGTCCTCCCTCCTGCTCTACCTCTTCTCCATCTTCAACTGAAGTAACTTCAACTGGCGGCCTGCTTCCCAAAGACAGCAGCTCAGTTGCACTTTGCTGTTCTAGTACTTTCTGCACAGAGTCTTCATATACAGCCGTGTGAACTTTGCCATTTGGTCCAAGAGGACTTGGCCGGTCTTTGAACTTGCGGTCACGATGTGTGGGTGTCCTACCCTTCCTAGGAGACTGAGGAAACACATCCCGGCATAGTGACTGAAGACTGCCTCTTTCATACCCATTTGGTACTTTCACATTCAAGGAAGCTCTTGCTTTTTTACTTTCATTAGGTGGTGGTGCTGTGTCAGCTACACATGAATTTTTAATGATCGCCCGGATAAGCGCATTGTGAAGGCAGATGTTATCTCTCCCCAGTAAATTTACACAATGCTTATCAAATTCAGATTTGTTTAGCTTTAAGCTTAAATATCTGCCTAACAGATGAAAATATTGCTCTGCTCTTTGTCTGCCGATCTTCCTCTCTATCCGATGTTTCAGCTCATGAGTATCAATCCGGGGGCAATGCCGAGCTCCTGGCATTTTGAATCCCTAATTGCTTTCAAGTCTCAAACTGATAATATATTTAGAGAAATGCGAAGGAGCCAAATCCCTAGCACTTATTTGCCTTCATTCCCACAGGCAACCTCAGTCCTAAACTCAATGAATTCCACTCTGGTACACCAGATGATTGAACTCTGCAGGAAGAATAAGCTTAATTGAGCTTCTACTTGCTCCAATGGTACAATCAACTCACCGATTTGTCAATCAAGAAGCAAATCAGTAAAATCAACTTCCACTTAATGCGAAATTAAAACTCAAATTCACAATACGATGAAAACAATCACAATGCTATAAAGAACACAACCCAATCAACATCAAGTAAAAATCAGGACTTCAAGATCGACAGTCTACGCGGAATCGTGATCTGATAGCTAAAACCCCAATGAGCACGATAAATGCCGGAAATAAACATCGGGAACCAAAATTAACCAATACCTCAATCGAAAAAGCTCCGAATTTCAAGAAATTGGGGTCGGATTCCGCAAGTACGAGCTTCGAACAGTGGGTGATCGGAGTCCTAGAGAGAGAAAACGATGAGCGAGAGAGAAAGATTAGGGCTTGTAATCGCTGGGTTTTTTTCGAAGCTTCGGCTTCGAGTCGTGTGGGAGTCAAAAAGGCACGTGCGTCATTACAGGTGTGGTTCAGTGAGCGGAGACTTGTGTTGAGTCTGAGGTTTGTTTATTTGCTGCGTACGGTTTGGATGAGTGCCAAAATCTGAGGGAGTTTATGCTGTCCTGAAAGGAAAGTCGGCTGGTGGGTTCCGATATCCAAACGGGATTTTACGTGACAATTTTTGTTTGGACCGGAAGCCTATGATGTAACGAGATAATAACAATAATAATAATGTCCCAAATTCCCTATGTTTAAATAGTGTTTTCATTCCTTCTATAACTGGCAAAATCTAACGTTGTATATCTACTCAGCAGCCATTCCTTTCTTATGTCAATCTATAGCATTGTAGTTATTTGACCAAATTTTAACTCTAGCACACACATCAATGAGTGTTTGGCAGATGATGTTAGGAACATCATTGTTGTGAGGGGTCTTACGAATGGTAAGGCTTCAAAATATGCTTATTTGTTTTAGAATAGTTTGGGTGTACATGTGTAATCTAATGGGTTTATTTCAATGAATATCATCTAATTAATAGGTTTAAACTAATATGTCTCATTAACTTTGCACCTGTCACAAGTGTTAAGCGGTACTTGATGAACAAAATAACGAACATTTAAATCACTTAGATTGCAATTCTAAATTACATTAACCTTGTAAGCTTTACTCAGATACTTAATTCAATTTTCTTGAGCATTGAAAACACTTACGTGAACACTGTAATTATGTCAAACGTCTCCATGCAAACTTAATGGTTTCATTTTTCTATACACATTTTTCTACATTATTCGATATCTTCATTAAGTCTAGCATTTGACAACAAGGTTCATCTTCAAAGTTGGGAATAATATCACCACCCCTTAACAAATTTGCATCCATATCAATGCTTAAGCGGATCGGGAATTTTTTAAGCTATTGAAATCATCTATCACTCTCCACTTATTCAAAATGTACTTTCGAAAGTAACCATTGACATTTTCACAACAAACAAATCATTTACAATGAGAGCCAAAGTTTGATATTAATTAAAGTTTATCTTACATAATTTAAAGAGGTCAAAAGACCTACAATTCTCTACAAGTTCTTTTTCTGAAAGTTGACTAGATTCATCTCCAACACTTCTTTACATAATGAACATCACCTTATCTCATAAATACAGATCAATATCATGCTTCACCACACCTTCTTCATTTTATTTTACCCGCTTACTCAACCTTGCCACATATTTATCGGAAATTATGGGTGGAACATTTTTCACACTACTACTTTAATTTCTTATTCTAATATTTGCCTTTTAGTTGCAAGTTAGTGTTGCTTTCCGCTTCTTCACACTCCTCTTTTCATATAGAAGAAATAAAAGTTTGTTCGATTTGATCAACTTTTTGTTTCATTTCATGTGTGACCCACTATAAATCTTCTTTACAGTTCCCCTTAATAGGATTTAGTTTAAGCCTGGCTCTGAAGCAAGGCCACTTATAATTATAAGTTCAACTCATTGAGTTTACCGAATTACTTAATGTGTCTTCATCAGAGAACTGACTTCATTTACTAATGAAGGATTGTTATGAGTTGATCCATATAATCTAGGACGGATATGAAATTGTTATGAATTCTGTGATGTAGAAAAAACTAACTATAAGAGTTGTATCATAAAAATCTCTATAAGCCCTGCACAAATATCACATGCAGATTTTGCATTTGGTGACCCAACTCTTTCACTCTTCTTTAACATAATTACATTTTCATCATGTTGAAGATGTTCCTCTGATTCTGTAATGTAGGCTATGTACGGATTGCCCTTACTTTTTCCATCCTTTCAAAGGCTTCCATTATCTTCTCAAAATTCAATTCGTTGATACAAGTTACTCCACTAATTAGTATGTTTTTAAACTCATCCCCTTTCCAATTTGCATAGACGTGCCTTGCACATAAACGGGTTTTTTGCATGACATATTTGATATCTAATTGCACAATTAGCTAATCCACAATAGATTGAAGACATAAAGTAAAACGCTCATAAGGAGACGAGGTGGATAATTATTGTCCATGACGACCCATCATTTAATTGCAAATCATGATCCTAACAAACCCATAAATCAATTCCAATTAAACTAACTCTTACCCACGATAGCTGGTACATATTGTTATTGGAATCTCGACCAACATTTGCTAATAAACACGTCCAAGCACCGTCTTTATAATGGCATCATTGACACCAAACATGTTTATACACACTACCAGGTAAATATTCCTCAAGGATGAAAATCTTAGATGTAATCTCTTATAGACATGTCCCATACTAGATTAGGGGTTGTGTATAAAAGTACTTTATTTTTCTTCCCTTCGTATATCTATATGTACTGTTTAATCTTACCATAGTGTTCATCCAATCATCCAGTGTGCCTCTTAAGGACCATAGAGATAAAACTTGTCCTTATATCATTGTCTAAATGTAACTATTTACTTTTCCAACAGATCATTACGCATTTTATATGGTGGCCAAATCGGATTGGTTTTAAACTTGTGCAATCATTGCTTTGCCATCTAATGTGTTGTTGTTTGCCTATTTCTCAATGGCCTACAACATGTATGATTTGGACAATTATTTTTAAATACAAAAGCTTCTTTCTCTCGGAGCTAACCCACATATCTTTTCCATTTGTAACCTCAAACGCATCTTGAGTCCATATTTGTATAGCGTAACTAATTTCCTCTATCTTATTTTTCTTCCATTTTCAATAGCGCTCATCTAGAATGTTGTCTTTGAAAGGTGCATTATACTTTCTAAGACTCACAAATCTTGATCAATCTTCACTTAGATATGACATAGTAAATTGAAGTAGCAAATTACTTAATTGAGATTTGTATAGAAGTGAGGTAAATAACATTAAACATGAATTTCTACATTCAAAGGAAATGACAGTGCTTTTTCCCCCGACTAAATAAGAAAGATTGGTCAATATTAATGAGGTCCAGGAAATAATATTTACAAAATGACTTTGTAAAGTCACTAGCAAAGTGAATGTAGAACATTATAGATGATCGCTTCAATTATGAAAATTTAATTGTGAAGGATGAATATATGTAGTATGTACTATACAAATTGATTGAAAAGGGGAGACGAGCTCTACTGTAGTAACAAAAACTAGTGTCATACCATATCATACTTATGCTTTTTAACATCGCATTATTATATCATGATATATGAATATGAAATGATTATCATTATGATGACAATATCTTACTTTAAAAAACATATATCATATGCTTATTAGGAAAACATTCAATCAAAAAATCACTATAATGTGAGGTGGCCCCCAAAAACATGCATAAGGGACGCGTCGCATAACGGGTGTGTGTGCTTTTGATGTCATTTTGTATAGCTCTTCGCGTATCCTTTTCAATTGAACACTTATGTTTGAACTTAATACTATTATTTATATGTAGTTAAATTTCAAAATTATACTCTGTTTCCAAAAATAAGATATAATTCCTAATATATGATCAAAATAAATATAGTCAATAAAATCTGATTTGGTATCTTTTAGTAACTATAGTTATGTTCCAAATATGACATTAGTGACTATATGATATACCTAAGTAACTTTAACTGTATTTTTATTCATAAACTTTATGTATGTACAATACTCCCTTCATTCCATAAAATTCTTCTCGAGTTGACTTAGATCAGAGTTAAGAAAGTGAAAATAAGTAGAAATGTATGATTGTAATTAAGTAATGAAAAATGTAAGAAATTTTTCAAAAAAAAAAACGAGAAGAATTTTTTGAGATGTCCCAAAAAGGTAAGTGAGAAAAATGTTAAAGGATGAAGTGAGTAATATTTTAGAAAAAACCTCAAGAACTAAATCTCTTATCAATATCAAAACAACATATTACTTTTGTTTTAAAACATCACTACTCCCCCCCTTAAATTTGACTTCATACAATTCTCTAATTGGCATCAACAAAATCCCACTACGGGAATGTGCTAACACGGACCTTTAAGTGAAATGGATACACAAAGGGAGTACTGCTTTTCATTGCTTAAAAATGCTTTTGAGCATTTAGTATTTAAAAAGTTACAAAAAGTGTTTTAGAAAAAGTTAATCAAGTACTTTAAATTAAAATCTGAAAAGGTATGGAGAATATATACATGAAGGTGCTTTAAATTGGTTTTCATTTTTCTATTACATAAGAGAATATATTTTTACGGACCACTCTAACATTTACTTTTTGAAATTACTATTCTTTTCAAGCAATACAAACTTTTACTACTTCATACTCCCTCAATCCCCCTAATTTTGTTTCTTTTTACCTTTTTCGTTCGTCCCATTAAGTTTGTCTCATACCATATTTGGTAATATTTGGGTGGTTACAATCCATTTTTACTTTATTCAAACTTTATCAATTTAATGTCAACCACACAATTCTACTTTTTTTTAAAAAAAAACCACACCACACCCTTAGGGGGACAGAGGTAGTATTTAACTTATTTAAAATAAGTTAGTTAACCACTTCATGAGAAGTAATTACACTATCCAAGAGCTATCAAAAGCGACATCAAAAGCATACACGTCCACCATGCATGTTTCCTTCAAAGTGACTCTGTATTCACTTATAAAAAAATCAATTGAAGAAATCACGAGAAATGTGAGGTAGGTCCTGCGAATATGCATTACAGAAGAATTGCAATGTTGCATGACGAACTTGTGTGCTTTGATCATTCAAAGTTGAAAAATACTAATCCACAACATGCACCAAACAGAACAGACATCTACGAAGTTACCTCTTCATGGATAGCATCAAACTACAATCTAGCCTGCAGTGCTACCAAATCTGCAACCTTCACACAATGTGAAGCATGTTCTTACCTTAGCTTGACCCATTTCTCCTCAATCTCACCAGCCTGGGACCTCTCTATCAGATTGACTTTTTCCTTCAGCATATCTATTGTCTCCTGAGTACTGAATGAATAGTTTTCCTTATTGAAAGATCTAACCAAGCAAGGATATTTGGATTGAAAACCCCTGTCTCATTCTTAGCTTCACCATCCATTACATCTTTCAGAGAAGCCTGGTTAAGATTTTCATTAGTAGAAGGCTGGCTGTTTTTTCCCTTGGAGGCAAAGTGGTTGTCTTTACCCTTA